GCTCTGCTGTCAGGACAGCACATCCACAGCACCCCTTGGGTCACTGCTCAGAGCAGTGGGTTACTGCTCAGATGAATGGATCCACATCTGGGTTATTGCTTGGAGAAACAGCTCTACATGTGGGTTATTGCTTGGAGAATGGGATCCACGTGTGGGTTATTGCTTGAGTGGCTTCATGTCCCCGGGCAGGGCCTTGGTAAGGGGAGGCAGCTCCCTGCCTGCTGCTGAAGGCACGAATTGGTACTGAGGGCAGAGAGGGGGCTCCAGCCAGGAGCACCCCACCAGAGCTGCCCGTGGTTTGCATAAGGAATTAAAATGCGATCCTGGGAGAGCAGAGGGGCTGCCGAGAAGGCAGCAGCTTCCAGAGCCACCTCTGAACGTGAGCAGGAGGGCATCCTGCCTAAGGCACCGTATGGCACTGCGGGGCTGGTGATGAGCCGGGGGGCCTCTGGGTGCTGCCGCTGGAAGAGGAAATGTCTGAGACCACGAGGAGCTGCAAGAGCAGGAGGAGCAGTTCTGCTTGAGAGCCACAGGACACTCACAGGACAATCTTGAAGGAGCTGCAAGAGACACGACAGGTTCTGCACCTCCTCCCTGGGGCACACGCAAACGGTTTGTGAGCACCCAGTGCTATGGGACGCAGTGTTACCCTGCACGGGATGCAGCTCTGCTGCTACGGGAGACCTCTACAGGGTGGCTTTGTCCTGCAGCCACCGAGAGCTCTGCCCCAGCACCAGCACAGCAATGGGGGTGGGTGAACCCCCAGAACGAGCTGTGCTGCTGCACACACTGTACCTGGCGAAGTCCGGGGAGCGGGAGACAACGTGCTGGAACTCGGAGAGGTTGATGGTGCCATCCTTGTCGATGTCAGACTCTTCCAGGATCTGAAAGGAGAGGGAAAGGCAAGTGGTGACCTCTGTGTGGCTGGGACCATGCAGTGGCTCATGCTCTGCCTCATGGTCCTCACGTTTTGGATGAGCTGCTCCATCTCGGCACTGCTCAGCCGGGACTCCTCGCCTTGTCCCGTCAGACAGTTCACCAGCTTCTCCAGGTCCTTTTTGTCCAGAGTCCCATCGTCATCAAAGTCTTTAGGGAGAGGAAAGTTATGTTTTGGCAGGGCCACAGTGACCCCAGAGAGCCGTGAGGAAAGGGCCTGGCAGCCTGAGGACATGTGAGGCTCCACGCTGCACCTCGTGGTGCACAGCATCGCACCAAACCAGCAGCTCCCACAGGAGTTCCTAAAGCCCTCTGGGATTCATCCCTGACCCCCCCCATCATGAAGTGTGTGGACCCCAGGACCCGGCACTCGCCCCTGGCCTCACCAAAGATGCGGAAGGCATAGTGGGATTTGATGTCCGAGGTAGCAGAGTCGCTGAAGACACTCAGCATATCGAGGAAGTCTTCAAAGGACATGCTGTCGTCCCCGTCGTCCGAGGTGGAGAACACATGGCAGATCCGGTGCTGGAAGGGGTTTGCCTGCAGCATGGGAAC